TTCATATGAGTACGATAAATTTACTATAGGTAATTTTTATTTGCTAAGGAATTATGTTCTAAGAGTTGCTGTAAGTTAATTCTCATATCAAAGTATATTTTCTCATTAAAGACATAACCCGTATAATGAAATAGAAACCACAGTCTGTGACCTGTGTTAAGTGGTAATTAAGTTAGGATTCCCAGATTTATTCTCCAGCCAATGTATATAACAACACTGACACCTGACAACCACTTATGCTTGCATATTATCAGAATTTGAGGGACACTGCTAACTAAAAATCAGTGTAAAGTGAAGAATCATAGTCCGTGGTCTGCATTTTTTGCTTTTCTCATGTGAGTACTTCTACTTGTAAGAAAATATTTTGTCATCTCCGCATTATCCAAGGTTCTGGCTCTAAGAGATGCTTCTGTACCACCCCAGTTTTAGCCTTGCTCCATGGTTGATGCAGTTGAAGAAAGTTACAGCCTTCTCCCCTTTTCAACAATCCATATTACTGTAGATAGATAGATCCTATCCTTCCACTCCATCACAGGGTCCAGGTCGAAATCAGACCAGAAATTTGGTAGAAATCAGACCAGCAGTTGTTCCCTGTGTATTAGATCTGTATAGTTCACAGGCTAACAATGTGCACCAGTACAAAAATAAGGAAAGCATTCACACTTGTAAATAATAAAGATTACATTATTTTTCTACCATCCAGTGATAGGCTCACAGTGACAAAAACAAGTATTGGAGATAAGAGTATGTTTCAGCCTATTAATGCCTTCTTAGAATACTGGAAGTTAGCCTAAGTTAATATCAACTTCATCACCATAAAGAAGTTAAAAGAGGACATTCTATCAACAAAATGAAGAGAGGGCCTAAGAACAGCCTCAACCATTTATAGTGAATATTAAGTCTTAGAACTTTCTGCCTTGTTCTGTGATAGTTGAAAATACCAGCAAAATAATATTGCAACATAAGGTAAAGATAGAGGAAGTAAGTGCCTGTCAAAAAATGTTTGTTTAAGGGCGGCGCCGCAGCTCACTTGGCTAATCCTCCACCTGTGGCGCTGGCACCCCGGGTTCTAGTCCCAGTTGGGGTCCTGGATTCTGTCTCAGTTGCTCCTCTTCCAGTCCAGCTCTCTGCTGTGGCCCAGGAAGGCAGTGGAGAATGGCCCAAGTGCTTGGGCCCTGCATCCGTATGGGACACCAGGAGGAGGCACTGGCTGTAGCGGCCATTTTGGGGGGTGAACCAATGGAAAGGAAGACCTTTCTGTCTCTCTCTCTCTCTCACTGTCTAGCTCTGCCTGTCAAAAAAAATGTTTGATTAAAGGAAACAAGAAAATTGTTTAAAATGTTTGCTTTAAAATCTGTGAAAAATAAGTTGGAAGTCTTGAGAACAATTTAAGTGCAAGGGAGTTAAAAAGATAAGAAATGCCAGAAAATTAAAAATGTGAAGTCAGAAATAAAATCTATATTGAAAGAGAGAGCAAAAGTAATACTACATAAAGTCTCATCAGTGAGATAGAAGCTATACCGAAGAACTTCTGCTGATTAGAAAAGGAAAATTGATGAGGAAGAAGATAGTATCTAAGGAACTAGAACTAAGATCATATTTCACACATCCTTGGAGGGGAAAATACAGAACAAATGGAAATCTAAAGGAAGACAGTTTTCTATGTTTAATGACATAAAAGAAGAGTTGAATGAACTAGATGTTCGACCATTTTTTTGGATGGGAAAACATAATAAGATATGAATTAAAAGGTAAAATAGAGGGCTGGCACCGTGACTCACTTGGTTAATCCCATATGACTGCTAGGTTTTGTCCCAGTTGCTTCTCTTCCACTCCAGCTCTGTGCTGGGACCCGGGAGGGCAGTGGAGGATGGCCCAAGTACTTGGGCCCTGCATCCGCATGGGAGACAAAGAGGAAGCACCTGGCTCCTGGCTTCGGATTGGCGTAGCTCTGGCCATGACGGCCATTTGGGGGGTGAACCAACGGAAGGAAGATCTTTCTCTCTCTCTCTCTCACTGTCTAACTCTATCTGTCAAATAAATAAATTTTAAAAAAGATACAATAGAAGAAAATATTTTTGAATCATTTTCATAATATGTAACCTATATATGCAAATTAAAAAGGCTCACATTCCCAATAAATGTGATGAAAATACCTTTGCAAATCGTTGTATGCAGTAACTTATTAGAATAAGGAAAAATACCCTGAACCGTTCTTTTTAGAAATGTAAAAATGGTGTATATTAGTAACTACATTAAAATGTCAAAAAACTAAGATACTAAAAAGACAGTTGTAACATTCAATGCCCATACCTGGTGTTGAAAAACAAGCAAGTCTTTAAATTAGGAATAGGGGCACATGTCCTTCACATGACAGTACTTTAAGCCAGTAGCCAATATAACACTGAAAATAAAGCACTAGGTATATTGTATTCTTTTTAAAATGAGGAAGATAAGAATAGTTTCTGCCTTGTGCTAGGTGTTTTGAACAATGCAATCAACCAAATTTTTTTTACTTTAAGATGGGGTGAAATCAATATGTATTAATGTTTAATTTTTCAGTTATGCTGTACTTTAAGATTTATTTATTTATTTGAAAGGCAGAGTTACAGAGAGGGAGAGGTCTTCCATCCACTGGTTCATTCCCCAAATGGCCACAATGGCTGAAGCCAGAAACTTACTCCAGGTCTCCTGTGTGGCTGCAGGGGCCCAAGAACTTGAGCCATCTTTTGCTGCTTTCCCAGGCCATAGCGGAGAGCTGGATCAGAAGTAGAGCAGCCAGGACTAGAACTAGCACCCATATAGGATGTTGGCACTGCAGGCCGGGGCTTTAAACCACTGTACCACAATGCTGGCCCCTTACGGCAATTATTTTTAAGAACATAGATAGGCCCTTTCATTTCTAAGGAACTCATTGCAAATTATCTACTATTGTCGTTATCATCATTTACTTTTTTTTTTTTAAATATTGTATTTATTTTATTTGAGAGGTAGAGTTACAGACAATGAGAGGGAGAAACAGAGAGAGGTCTTCCCTCCATTGGTTCACTCCCCAGATGGCCACAATGGTCAGAGCTGTGCAGATCTGGAGCCAGGACTCAGGAGCCTTCTTCTGGTCTACCACGTGGGTGTAGGGGCCCAAGCATTTGAGCCATCTTCCACAGCTTTCCCAGACCATAGCAGAGTGCTGGATTGAAAGAGGGGCAGCCAGGACTAGAACCAGCACCCATATGGGAAGCCAGCACTGCAGGCAGAGAATTAACCTACTGTGCCATGGCGCCGGCCCCCATCATTTACTTTCTTTACCAGTTTATGTTAGTCACTTTAGTACATCCATCTGTGTGTCCTTTAAAGAGAATGCATATTACAAGTTCCTTTCTGTAACAGGTGTTTATTACAATGGTTAAGTTGCCTGGGTTCAGTTCCTGGCTGCAGCTTCCTCTCAGTGCAGACCCTCAGAGACAGCCATGATGGCTCAAATAATTGGTTTCCTTGTAGGAGACCTGGATTCAGTTCCTGGCTCCTGACTTTAATCAGGGCCACACCTTAGCTTTTGCAGGCATTTGGGGAGCGAGCCAGTGAGTGGGTGCTTTGTCTCTCTGGCTCTCAAAAATACAAGTTTCTCGGCCGGCGCCGCGGCTCACTAGGCTAATCCTCTGCCTTGCGGCACCGGCACACCGGGTTCTAGTCCCGGTCGGGGCACCGGATTCTGTCCCGGTTGCCCCTTTTCCAGGCCAGCTTTCTGCTGTGGCCAGGGAGTGCAGTGGAGGATGGCCCAAGTGCTTGGGCCCTGCACCCCATGGGAGACCAGGAGAAGCACCTGGCTCCTGCTTTCGGATCAGCGCGGTGCACCGGCAGCAGCACGCCAGCCGTGGTGGCCATTGGAGGGTGAACCAACAGCAAAGGAAGACCTTTCTCTCTGTCTCTCTCTCTCACTGTCCACTCTGCCTGTCAAAAAATAAAAAATACAAATAAAAAAAATAAATAAATAAAAAGTAACTCAGCCAAAGAAAGTAAAACATAAAAAAAAATTGTTTCTCTAAAGCGTAGAAAAGTTTTATCAATAATTTAGCAACCAAAATATAAGGAAAGGGTTTGTGTTCAATTCCATTTTACTTTTTCGCTTCAGCTGGAAGGAACCTTCATATCCACTCATGGTTGCTAATGATATCTTCTTCAGTCTTTTGTAAACATCTTCCTCATTTCTTGAGATACTAGGATACCCTTAAAACTGTCTTCAGAAGTGCATACAGCAGGGTTGGGATGGATTAAGGAAGGAGTCCTGTTTGATAATGTTTCCACAGCCATAGTAAACCCCGGCCGGACCTAAAGTAAGGCTCTTCTCTCTTACCACTACCTTGCCTGTCAGAACACGTGATTTTATGTACAATTTCATAGTAATGGAAAAGCAGGTTTTATTATGTGATATGAAAAAGGGAAGATAGCATTTCTAAAAGGTTGTGGAAAATTCACAATCAGGAACAGCAGAAGGGGAAATGAAGTTTTTGTTATAATCATTGTGGTTGTGGCTAGGGTAGCAATTTCCTGGACAGTTTAATATGTAATGTGTTTTAGAGAATAGGAACTTTAAACAGTCTACCTTTGGAGGTTTTCTTTCTTACTTTCTCTTGTTACCAAGTTGATAATTGAACTTAGGTGCACAAGGAATGTTACTGAGTTTTTCATGACATCTCTTTTTTTTTATTCTTTTGGTTTTCACTGACAACATCTCTTACTATTCTCTGAGCAGTTCACCCTTAATGAGTTTGGGAAGTGATGATTTTAAATAACAACTGGAGTCTGGGTTAGAGGTCATTGAATCTGGAAAATAGAGATTTTGCTCAGTAACTAGATGAATCACAAAGGCAACTATAAAATTGAGATGATAAGGTATTTCTTCTGCTTATAATATTAATGTTAGAATTGGGAAAAGGATCCTGTTGTACACAGAGAACTGTTTTGTCTACTAAATCCTAATAATTTTTTAAAATTAATTTCAGATTCTTTTAGTGACCCCTATAGTCACTTTGAAAGAGTTGTGAAGGCTCTTCTGATCAATGCTTTAGATGAATCTTTTCTGAAAACATTGTATGGTAAGTTAATAGTGTGAATGGAATGACTTTTTTCCTTTTCCCCATTATTAAACAATCTCACTTTTAAAACTATGTAAATGAAACAGAGCCAAAGAGAGCTATTCTTAAGGCCTCCCTCTTGAATCAACTATATAAAAACTTCACTCATTTAATAAAACTTGTTATTGTTTATTTTTTGAGATATGTGGAAGGTAAGTGTGTGACAAGTCCTTACCCTGAAAGACTTCACAATGCCTTTGAGGAACAAGACAAACACTCATAAAATAGTAGGGTTCTCCTATACACATGGGCTGTCCCAATCCCTCTAAGCCCTTTGAATGTCAGTAAAAGTTGCATGCTGTTTTATGCTTTTGTACTTTTGCTCTTGCTGTTCCTTTAGAATACAGTCTCTTTTTAACCTGGATTTTCTAGGTGCATTTAAAAACATCTCTGCTATAAAAGCTATGTAATATCACTCTCTCAGATTCATGCCACCATGATCTGGAGTATGGTGGCATTCATATATATGTAGCTTTAATGTATCAACAGTGTGTTTTCACTTTTTGCCCTTACTAGATTGTGAGAAGAATTATATATATATATACACACACATATATACATACATATATATATATATATATATACACACACACGTATCTTTTACATCTAGCTCAGAATCTGACATCTACTAGGCTAAAAAATGTGCTGGATTAAATACCTACATAAATGCCTGAATAAGATTTCATTCTCTATTATTGAATAAATATTTATTGAATACACACTATGAGCCATCCCTGGGTTTATGAAAATGACTAAGGTACTAGATTCTGTCCTTCCTATTGCTTTAAGTCTTAATGGGAGAGATAAGGTGACAAAGGAGTAAACTAATATGTAACAATATAATGAATTTCAACTAGTGATTAATTCTTGGAAAAAATACTATAGTAGGGTAAAGACAGAATGATAAGGGAAAGTAGAGTCTACATATTCTTTGTTAGATTGCTCAAAGGAGTGTCTGAAGGTGTAACTTCTGAACCTGACTGAAGTGAGGGAGGAGATTAAACATGAATTCTATAGAGGTCACAGCCAGTACTACAACTCTTAGGAAAGAATAAGTTAGGTATGTTAAAAATCAACTAGGGGACTTCAGGGAATTTGGAGAAGATACAAATTCAGAACACTATGTAGGAGAAAAGAGGACTTTGTAAGTCATAGTAAATGAGGTTTGAATTTGTAGTGACCTAAAGAAACATAAATTTATTAGCTACATTCTTTAAAAAAACTTCAAAAGCAGGAAAACAAAGCTTGACTTTAGGACTATGACAGATACATATGAAATAGAGAATATAACATGAAACAAATTGAGAAGGCAGAAATGAGAGTTGCATGCTGAAGGGGAGTGAGAAGGTCTGACTAGAGAAGAGAGTTCTGATTTGTTGGAATGGGGCCAGTGGGGCCAGTAGCACAGGGGCCTGGAAAACCTACAGAAAGCATTGAGTTTTATCTAGAATGAAGTGATTATTTGTGTCAGTTTTGTGTAGGAAAATAAAACATAATTTTACAAGCTTTTTTTATCTAGCTTTTTTCATTATCAGAAAATAATGTTAAAGTTCAGTGTTTACAAGGAACACTTGAATCTTTTACCCCATTTCCTTCCCCTGATGCTCTGAATGGGATTTTTTTTTTCACTTGATTTTTTTTTTTTCTAATTTAAAGTGTTTCCAACCAACCAATCACGTATATTCCCAAAACTAGGGAAGTTTTCAACTGTTTAAATATTTCATGTGCACGGAGTATTTTTTTATTGATCCCTAAACAGATGGCACCAGGCAAAAATCATATGCAAGAGATATGTTGACCTCTCTTCATTATTTGGATAACCACTTTGTTCAGCCTCGTCTGGAGAATTTATATTCTAGAAGTCGTTGGAAACAACAATATAAGGTACAGAGTTTGTTTTTTAATCACTGGGAGGGTTTGGGGACAGCAGACCTGCCAGGATTCAACATTATTTCAAGCTCAACAGTCTTCAGAAGTTTTGCCATGCTGCTCTGCTAAATAATCAGATTATTTCTCTCCTAAAGGCTGTTACTGTTTTAATTATCCATACCACCTACATCTCTCCAGTACTTAAGTAATTTAAATGATACCTTTAGAATATCTCTAGAGGTTAACCTGTCTTTTAAAATGAGGAGATTGTCTCACAGGATATTTGTTAATTGTTTCAGTAAAGAGAGTTCGATAGCCAAAAAAGTTTCTTTACTAGATGATTTTTCAGCAACGTTAATATGTGAATCTATATTGTAAATCTTCAAGAGGAGATACAGAATGCAGTACTTTCCAAATTTGAGTTTTACTATGAGGCTTTTCATGAAACACCTGTTGTTATGTCCTGGGACACTTGATTTCTATAAAACATAGTTTGGGAAAGACCCCCTGGGTAATGTTTGACACCTTTCTCCACCTTCAGATTTTGTGATTTTACCAATTTGTAGAAACACTTTTTCAATCTGTAGGATTAATTTGATTCCATGTTACCTCTAGATTGTTTTGTGTTACCTATTAGAACAGGATAGACTGTATTGTATTTAATGGTCTACCTCCCAGCTTCTACCATTCTTTGTTCTAATGATTAGCAAGAGGAAAATTAGAAACCTAACAGAAATTCAAGATCCTTATAATCCTTCTGGGACTTAAATAATTAGCTACTTTACCTTATTCATGTCAGCTGATTTGCTTTCATCCAAAATCTGTTCAATCTTGAAGTACCTGATGATAAATTAGCAGAGATCATTAGGTTAAGAAACAGTTGTAGGGGCCAGGGTTGTGATATAGAAGGTTAAGCCACTGCCTGGGATACCTGCATTTCATATAGTTGGTTTGTGTCCTGGCTGCTCCACTTTCAATCAGGCTTCCCTCTGATGTGCCTGTAAAGGCAGTGGAAGATGACCCAAATGCTTGGTGCCCTGCAATGTATGTGGAAGACCTGGTTGAAGTTCCTGGCTTCGAACTAGCCTGGCCCAGCGCCGGCCATTGAGGCCATCTGAGGAGAGAACCAGCAGATGGAAGATCTCTGTCTCTCATTGTCTCTGTGTAACTCTTTCAAAATAAATAACTCCTTTAAGGTAGAGAGAGAGATAGTTGTAGAATTCTAAAAAGAGAAGTCTTCAAATTAGAGGATGGCTTAAATTTAAGGATCATCCTGTGTGTGCGTGTGTTTTTTTTTTTACTTTCAGTAAGTTTCTAAACTGAACCCCAATTTCCTTTTCATATACAGAAAATAGCTACTTTAAAATGAAATATTCATTTACCTGGAACTTTAAGTACATGGCATAGCTCTTAGGAAATGGCATGAATATTTTTTCTTTTTTTTTTTTTTTAAGATTTACTTATTTTACTTGAAAGTAAGAGTTACACAGAGAGAGGAGAGGCAGAGAGAGGTCTTCCATCTAGTGGTTCACTCCCCAATTGACTGCAACAGCCAGAACTGTGCCGAAGCCAGGAGCTTCTTCTGGGTCTCCCAAGTGGGTGCAGGGACCCAAGGACTTGGGCCACCTTCCACTGCTTTCCCAGGCCGTAGCAGAGAGCTGGATCGCAAGAAGAGCAGCCGGGACTAGAACCTCAGGCCAGGGTGTTAACTCGCTTCGCCACAGTGCCAGCCGCATGAATATTTTTTTTCTTTTACGAAAAGATAGCATATTATTTCACTCTTACTAAGTAATGTAATCAAAGGAAACATAAAGAAGTCACTACTTTTCCCATTTTGAAGATGAGGAAATTGTGATTCAACAAAATGAAGTTACATAAAGTACAACAGCTAGCAATTAGGCTAATATTTAACCATGCAATCTATTGGTTTGTCTAAAACCTGTACCTGTATGCTATTCTGTGCCTTAACTTAATATAGTAAATTTACTGAATTTGGATAAATTAATATGGAAATAATAAATATCAACTACAAAAAAACATATCTGAAAAAGTTCTCTAACTTTTATATAAATTTATATAAATTTTATATAAATATATAAATTCTTCAGTAAGATTTTTAGGATGAGCTATATAAAGGTGCAAAAGAAAAAGAGATAATATGACAAACAAAATCCAGAGGAAAATATCAGTAGTTTAAAGTTTATTTTTCACTTACACAAGTATATCCAGTTCGAGTTTTCAGGAGTGCCCCACTCATTCATAGGCACTTAGGGAATCAGTATGAGAAAGCTTTCATTTCAGGTGTTTCGTCTCACCCAGGTGATAAGTCACCCATTCAGTCTAAATTTCAACCTGTAAGCGACACATGTCATGAAGTATAAGAAATATGGACGGTAGACCCCCCCCAAAAAAAAAAGTCGTTTTTAATTACGCAAGGTCAAAAGAAAACAATTAGTGTACTGTACACTTAATTACTATCAGACTGGTAGATGACGTTAGTATGAATTAGTTACTATGCTAATATGCTCATTGTGTACATTTCAAATAATTGTGGTAGAACCTAACCTACACTACTATTTAGAATACTAGTATTTAGATAGTAGTGTCTGTCTTAGAGCATAAGTAGAAATATTCAGGTGCAAGTAATTTCACACTTAATATAGCTTATTTGTGAATGCCAAGTATTTTCTCAGTTTTACTCCTTGATAACCCAGCTGTTATACTATCCATATTAACACTAAACAGATAGCAATCCTAGTTCTAACTCATTTATTTTTATAGTGCTATATTAGGTAACCAACAGACAGATACATTTTTCCAAAATATTTTTTAAAAAACAATATGATACAGTTCATAAATGGAGGTGTAAGATATGAAGTTGCTCCTTTTTAACCATCCTAAATTAATTCCTTCTTTCTTACATTCTAAATTTTAGCTGCTCATGATTTCCTATTTTTAACTAGTAAGGCATTAGTTATTAGATGAGAAGATAGAAAAGTAAATTGCAATCTTTCTAAGAACACTCATTAGAAAATATCTTGTCAAACACATACTATGTACTGAGCATTAAAATAAGAAATAACTGTGTTTTGCACCTAGATGTTTGTGTTGTGATTCCTAAAATAAAATTTAATTTGGTTAGATTCTTATTTTATATTTTAAATCTCATTATGTTTTCAAATTGTTTTCAGGAGCGGGTAGAAAATTACTCCTTTGTAGATATCCTTGCAGAGAATCCTGAGGATCGTTTCTGTCAGGCTTGTGGAATGCATCGCTACTGTACCTTTTCAGTGCATTTATCAGGAAAATTGTATAACACCAGGACTATGGAAACAGATGATTTCATGTCAGATGATAAACAGGTATTTTTTCCTCTGCTTTTAATTTTCACTATGTAGAAACCTTCAATATCTAAACTTACACAAAAATCCCAAATTTTCACAAATGGAGAAAACACTAGATGAAGGGGAAAGAGTACAAGGAAAGAGGGTAGTTTTTGAATGTGACAAATATGTCTTATATTAATTTCTAATTCAGTGAAATAATTTTAAATTGCTACATATTCTGTAAGTACATATGACCCAAATTTGTGGAAGACAAAGGTTATAGGCTGAAGATGATGTGGAAGATCACTGGGGCAAGGGAAGCAAGAGTCAGCTTTGAGTCCAAAGGAAACCTTGATCCAAGTGGAAAGTTTCCTGGCAGGTAATCCATGAGTCAATAATTTAAGACAATTCTTGATTCTAATATGAGAGAATTCAAAGAACATTGTGCTTTGACGGACTACAATCAGAAGTCTATTGAAGTCTAGAGCAACCACCAGGTGCTAAAAGTGATGTTGATTTTGAATGAATAGATAAAACTGAAGAATTAGTAATTGTTCAATACGAGAAAAGCAGACTGTGAAAGAATAAACAGTACAGGGCCGGCACCGTGGCTCTCTAGGCTAATCCTCTGCCTGCAGCGCTGGCACCCCAGGTTCTAGTCCCAGTTGGGGTGCCAGCTACTAGTCCCGGTTGCTCCTCTTCCAGTCCAACTCTCTGCTGTGGCCCAGGAGAGCAGTGGAGGATGGCCCAGGTGCTTAGGTCCCTGCACCTGTGTGGGAGACCGGGAGGAAGCACCCAGCTCCTGGCTTCAGATCGGCGCAGTTCTAGCTGTGGCGGCCATTAGGGGAGTGAACCAACTAAAGGAAGACCTTTCTCTCTGTCTTTCTCTCACTGTCTATAACTCTCTCTGTCTCTCTCTCACTGTCTAACTCTGCCTGTCAAAAAAAAAAAAAAAAAAAAAAAAGAATAAACAGTACAGATCCTCGGATGTGGACGACTTCTATTTGTTTGGACAAATTTATTTATTTTGATGTCTCAAAACATACAGTGTACAATGATCAGAAAGGGAAATTGGTATATGTTTCACATCAGAGATTAATCTTTGTGTGGGGAACAGTCAAAATCCTATCTGTTAGCTATTTTGACATATTCACTTAAGTGTTACCACTATGCTATAGAACATTGGAAATTATTTCTCCAACTGCAATTCTTTTTTTTTAAGATTTATTTATTTTTTTGAAAATCAGAGTTACATAGAAAAAAAAGGAGAGGCAGAGGCAGAGAGAGAGGTCTTCCATCCGCTGGTTCACTCCCCAGTTGGCCGCTATGGCCGGAGCTGTGCCGATCCAAAGCCAAGAGCCAGGAGCTTCTTCCAGGTCTCCTACGTGAGTGCAGGGGCCCAAGGACTTGGGCCATCTTCTACTGCTTTCCCAGGCACATTAGCAGAGAGCTGGATCGGAAGTGGAGCAGCCGGGACTTGAACCAGTGCCCATATGGGATGCCGGCACTGGAGGCGGCAGCTTCGCCTGCTACGCCACAGTGCCGGCCCCCAACTGCATTTCTGTACTTGTTAAGCATCCCATGGCCATGTCCCCTCCTTCCTACCCTTCCCAAACTGATGACCACAATTATATTCTCTACTTGTACAACATCTACTTTTTAGCCTCCATGTATAAGTGAGAACATGTAGTATCTCTATTTCTGTTTCTGACGTATTTCTCCTAACAGTTCCACCTGTGTTACTGCAGGTGACAGTGTCATTCTTTGTATGACTGATACTCAGTAGTGCCAATATACTACATTTTCTTTATACATTGATTCATTCATCACTGGATACCTCGATTCCCTGTCTTGGCTCTTGTTCAGAGTGCTTCAAGAAATGAAAATGCTGATGTTTCTTTGAAATAAGTTTTTCATTTCCTTTGGATAGATTCCCAGTAGTGGTATTGCAGATCATATAGCAGTTCTATTTCTTGTTTTTTTTTTTTTTTTTTTTAAGAAACTTCATATATTTTAAACGATCAGTACATTAATTTACATTCCTACCTACAGGGTGTGAGGCTCCTGTTCTGTACATCCTTGCCAGCATTTATTATGTTTTGTATTTTTTATAATAGCCACTTTAACTTGGGTGACATACCTCATTGTAGTTTGATTTGCATGTCTCTAATGATTAGTGGTGTTGAACATTTTTTCCTGTACTTGCTGACCCTCTCCAAATGTCTTCTTTTGAGAAATATGTATTCAGGTTATTTGCCCATTTTTAGATCAAACTCTTTTTTTGTGTGTGTGACAGTTGAGTCGTTTCATTTTTTATATGTTCTAGATATTAATCCCTTGGATGAATAGTGCACAAATATTTCCTCCCATTCTGTAGTTTGTCTCATGATTCTGCTGATTGTTTCCTTTGTTGTGCTAAAGCTTTTTAGTTGGATAAAGTCCCATATCTTAATTTCTGTTTTTGTTGCCTAAGATTTTAAGCTCAAATCCAAAAACAATATATATATTTGCCCAGACCAATATCCTGAAGCATATCCCTGTATCATCTTCTGGTAGTTTTATAGTTTCAGTTGTTGAATGTGAGTCTTTGATCCATTTTGAGTTGATTTTTATAGATGGTAAGATGTGATCAAGATTGTTCTGTATATTCATATGCAGTTTTCCTAGTAAAACTTACTGAAGAGATTTTACTTTTTCTAATGTATTTTCTTGCTACCTTTGTCGAAAATCATGTGGCTATAAATACTAGGATTTACTTCTAGGTTCTATATTCTACTCCATTACTCTTTTGCACTAATGCTATTTTGATTACTGTAGTTTGTTAGTGTGTTTTAAAGTTAGGTAACATAATGACTCCAGCTTTGTTCTTTTTGCTCAGGATTGCTGTAGCTGTTCGGGGTCTTGCTGTGCTTCCATACAAATTTCAGAAATGCTTTTTTCTGTTTCTGTGACACATGTCATTGGTACTGTGATAGGAATTGCATTGAATCCGTAAATTGTTTTGGGTAATATAGACATCATAGTGATACTAATTCTTCTAATCAATGAACTAGATATCATTCCATTTTTTGTGTCTGTTTTTGTCATCTTCAAATTCTTTAATAGTTTTTTTTTTTTTTTGTAAGTTTCATTGTAGAGGTCTTTCACTTCCTTGGTTAAATTTATATCTAAGTCTTTTTTGAAATTGTGAATGAGGTGGTAGCTTTGGGATCCACAAGGAAAGAAAGCCTATACTTCCAGGAAAGGAGAGTCCCTACCTGCACTTCCAGGGAAGAAAAGTCCTTGTCAGGGTCCCCGCTGGTGCCTAAAGGTCAACCAATGAGGATCAGACCTGCCTCAACTTTAACCCCCACGCCCTGCGTCTATTAAGGGAGCCCTCCCAACCTCTGAGGCACGCCTTCCCCGGCCCCTCTCTGTTGGGACCAGGGAACCTTTCCTGGAAGCAGAATCCTAATAAAACTTGTGAATTAATTGATTCATCTGTCTGGGAAGATTTGTTACGCACCGCTCACCTTGCATGAGGTTGTTTTTAAGGTTTCTTCCTCAGCAATTTTGTCATTGATATATTTTAAAACTCCTGATTTTGTGTGTGTTAATTTTATATACTGCAGCCTTGCAGATTTTTTTTAATTGGTACTAACAGGTTTTGGTGGAGTGTTTAGGTTTTTATGAATAGAATCATTTCATCTGAAAAATGAATAGTGTCTCAATGCTTTGGCTAAGGCTTTGAATTTGAGTAAGAATGCTGAAAATGAACACTCTATCTTGTTCCTGACTGATCTTAGAAGAAATGATCAGAGCTTTTCTCTTTTCAGTAAGATTTGCACTGTGGATTTGTTAGATAGTCTTTTGCTTTTATTGTCTTCAGGATCATTTCTTCCTCACATAATCTTTTGATGATTTTTTTTAATCATGAGGGATGTTTCCTGGCTACACTTGCTAAGGTTTTTTGATTTTGTTTACCTTTTCAAAAACCCATCCCTTCATTACATTGAGTTTTCATATATTTTAAGTCTATTTCATTTATTTCTGTTCTGATATTTGTTTTTCTTTACCACTTGTCCTTGCTATTCTTGTTCATTGAGTTTCATCATTAGGTGGTTTATTTGAAATCTTTATATTTTTATAGTTATTTACTGCTATAAATTTTCCCCTTAATACAGATTTTACTGTATCCTAAAGGTTTTGTGGTGTTATGCTTCCGTTTTTATTTGCTTGAACAAATTTTAAATTTTGTTTTCTTCATTGACTCCCTGATTATTCAAGAGAATATTATTTTTTTTTGAAGATTTACTTATTTATTTGAAAGTCAGAGTTACACAGAGAAAAAAGGAGAAGCAGAGAGGGAGAGAGGTCTTCCATTTCCTGGTTCACTCTCCAATTGGCCACAACAGCCAGAAGCTTGGCTGATCCGAAGCCAGGATCCAGGAGTATCTTCCAGGTCTCCCATGCAGGTGCAGAGGCCCAAGGACTTGGCCATCATCTACTGCTTTCCCAGGCCAAAGCATAGAGCTGGGTCAGAAGTGGAGCAGCCAGGACTCAAACCAGTGCCCATATAGGATGCCGGCACTGCAGGTGGGGGCTTTTCTCGCTACGCCACAGTGCCAGCCCCTCAAGAGTATATTATTGGCCTGCGCCGGGGCTCACTAGGCTAATCCTCCACCTGCGGCGCTGGCACCCCAGGTTCTAGTCCCAGTCAGGACTCCGGATTCTGTCCTGGTTGCCCCTCTTCCAGTCCAGCTCTCTGCTGTTGTCCTAGAGTGCAGTGGAGGATGGCCCAGGTCCTTGGGCCCTGCACCCACATGGGAGACCAGGAGAAGCACCTGGCTCCTGGCTTTGGATCGGCACAGTGCGCCAGCCGTAGTGGCCACTTTGGGGGTGAACCAATGGTAAAGGAAGACCTTTCTCTCTCTCCTTCTCTCTCTCTCTCTCTCTCTCTCTCTCACTAACTCTGGCTGTCAAAAAAAAAGTATATTATTTAACTTACGAGTAGGTGGAACAATTTTTTACATTCCTCTTTTATGGATTTCTAGTTT